GGCCCAGGCTGTGCTTATGGAGCGAAAGGGGGGCTTACATTGTGGTTGCACGTCGGATTGCGGTAGAGGCGCTCAACGACCCAATTTGCCTAATGATATTCCAGTCAGACCAGGCCTCGTGAAACATCCAGCGGATTGAGACTTGCGTCCCCCGCTTGGATGGGCGCCTGCGCACCCTCCCTGGACGGCCCCTCACCTCTGCCCATCCTTGGCTCTTTTCCCATGGCATCCCCGCGCCCCGTCAACCTTTTCTGACACCCCCCCCCAGATCCGCATCTGGAAGGTCAAGCGCAGCCAGGCCGACATCATCCGCCACATGCGCTGGTCCTCCGGCCTGGAGAACCACGCAGACCTCACGGCCTACTGGAAGTTCAACGACCCCGACACTGACGGCGGCCAGTTCAGGCAGCACCTGGTGCGGAGTCGGGCTGGGTCGCGGGCGGCGATGGCGGCGCGCTCCAAAGCCCCCTAGGGAGGCCTGCTGGTTCGCTTGCAGTTGACGGGTTGCCTGGTGTTGCGCTTGTCCAACGGGCCGCTCGGCAACGGCCTGGGCGGGGGCACGCTCTTTAGGACCTGTGAAAGGAGGGTGCGCGTGGCGCCACCCGCACACCAGTTCACAGCAGCCAGGGCGGCTGGCCTGAGGGCGCCCTGGCTGGGGTTGGCGGCCTCTTCGCCGCGCCTAGCACGCACGCCGAGCGCCGCTCACGCTCCCCATGCGGCCGGCCTTCTCTGCACACCGGGCCCGCACCGTCCGCCTGCCCCTGCGCCCACGTACCCACGCGCTCACGCACTCAGAACGCGCCCTCCCTGCGCTGTGTCGCCCAGATTGCCAAGGACTCATCCGGCAAGGGCAACGACCTGCAGCTGGCGGTGCCGCCGCAGCGCATGGACGTGGAGATCAAGCGCGATGCAAACGCGCTGCACACGGGTGCGCACGCGCGCCAAGGGGGTTGGAGGGCGAGTCTTTTGTCCCGCTGCATGGCTCGCCCGCTGAACGGGCCGCAGGGGTGCTGTGCCCACTGCCCTTGCGGTTCTCGCCCACAGGACGGCGGGGGCACCACAATTTCGACCCTTTTTGCTATCGACAGCCCGTCGCCCCATGACCTGTGCGCTCCGCCCTCCTGCCTCAAACACCTTTGCCATAACGCACACTTTTGATCAACCCACGCCACCCCCACCCATTCGCGTGCTCCAGTAAATCAACCTCAAACTTCAATCCAACCCAATACACTCCAGGCCGTCTTGAGTTCAAGAACAACCTGGCTCTGGCCAAGACCACCAAGGGGATGCCCGAGAAGAGCTTCACAGTGGAGTTCTGGGCCAGGGGCCAGGCCCTCGATAAGAAGGGCAACGCGCAGGTCGGCGGACGGCCGCGCATGGGCGCGGGGAGAGGGGGCACGTAATCGAGGTTGCAGTAGCGGGCATGGGCGCGGCCGGCCGCGCTCAAGGCCTGCTGGGGGCCCAGTCTGCGAGCTGCTTCTGCAAAAAGGAATAAGCGCGCGCGCACACACGCACACACGCACACACACACACACACACACACATGTACACACACACACACACACATGTACACACACACACACACATGTACACACACACACAC